AGGCCTCTCTTTGTTTGCACCGCGCTGGTCCTGGGATTGGACTTCCTGGGATGCGGTGTCCTCGGCCATGACCCCTTCGTTGTTACCTAACCGAAGGATAGGGTTCACGAAGGGGGGCGGAGGTGGGGGGGAATGGCGTTCTCCCCGACCTGCGGCTGAAGTGGTACCAGCGTGCCGAAGGCACCTGGATTCTGGGTGAGTGTTTGGATGAAGGCAGAAAATGCTGACTGTACGTCAATAGTGAGGACCGGAGGGCTCACTTGATTTTCGCTCCGGTCCCTCCTTTGGGTTTCGATGTCAAGGCGGGAATCAGGAGCATTTTGTTGTAGCTGAAGGCACAGGTCAACAACAGCATGTTCCAACCCAGCGATGACTCCGCCCTCGGGAGCCTTGTTGGAGACTCCGGGGGGCGTCGACTTCGCCGAGGGCCAGGTTATTGTCCTCAAGGGTCTTGGACTGGGCACAAGTTGTTCTTCCCATTTTGGTCGGTGTTTTGAGCTGAAGGGGAGGGTTTCTTACTTGATTGTTTGAGCTCTCAACGAGAGCACCAAATGATGGATAGTGTACCCGGGGGTAGTTTATCCGAGGGGTTATTACGGGAATTACTTAGAGAGAAGCCAGAGCAATAAGTAAGAGAGAGAGTATGTATTCGAATATGGAATGTTGTGTGTTTTACAAGGGAGAAATGGGCTGCTATTTATAACATCAATAAATGCTAGATAAGGACATGTGTCAATAATATGGTGGTCGAGGAGTCACCTCAATCGGGATGACACCGACATTTGCATGTGGGCGCATTAAATGCGGTGGTTGGATGCGATGTTTGTACTTGGTACGGTGATTCAGGCGCGTGTGGAGAAGATATTCTGTCGAGGGGATTGCCTTCGGCTGAAGGGTGTTGGCCGAAGGCTCTTCTAACCGGGGGCCTCCGAATACCGATGGCTATATGTGCCGAAGGCTTGATTTTCAAGCCTTGTTCTCCTGTGATGTTTCTGGGTTCGATTCTGTCAAATGTAGCCTTCGGTCATGGGGCCGAATGCACCCCCTCGCGTATTGTGGGCTGCTTAGAGCTTCATTTTGCTGGGCCTGATTGCAGTTGTGGAAGTATGTGGACCGGGGGTCCCTGGACCATATACTCCATCAAATACAATTGGGAGGAAGGACTACTACTACTACTACTACTACTACTACTACTACTACTACTACTAATAATAATAATAATAATAATAATAATAATAACGATGATGATACCAATATGTAATAACAACAACGATGATGATACCAATTTGTAATAACAACAACGATGATGATGACAGTGATGATGATAATGATAAATATAATGATAGCGATAAATAATAATAATAACTATAACAAAAAGATAACAGAAACAAGAGTGATAATGATAAAGTTAATGATATAACAACAATAATAATAGTAATAAGAAGAGTGGCATACACGAATATAATACTCCCTAAAAGTAATAATGATAATAATTATAATAATAGTTGGCCATAGATATGCCATACATTAACGTTTTGAGGACATTACATGCTCCAAATAATAGGAATTGGTGTTTGGCTAAGTTGATTTTGGAAGCAAATCTAATTGGTAGACCAAGGTCGCAATCCAGCTAAAGGTTCATTTGTTTTGCTACGTACAAGAGATCATTACCCTAAATTAGATTGTCCCACACCGGAACAAGTAGATAGCTCCACCGTAGATTTTCGTAAATAAATAACCCCTTGCTTGGCTTCAATAAGCAACGATTTCATGGAACTAAGAAGGCTACGGCCCATTACAACACAGTCCAATTTTAGCTATGGGTTCTCATTGATTAGAATACCCGTATTCATGGATGATATTAAGCTGGAGCCCGCCTTTTGACAAGCATAGCATGTATGCGAGGCGTACTGCTCGCGCCCTGCGCCTAGTCTCGCGTAGGCGGCGCATTTTCCAGCCTTTTAGAACACTAGATGCCGAGGGAACACATTTGCTTTACTCCTTTCTATTTTGAGAATGTATTACTCTTTTGCTCTTCAATAGGACTAATAATACTGTAATAGAACCAAACAAGTCCCATCTTAAGAAACAATATTGAATTTAGTTACTCCACCGTGCGTGTCTCACGGTGGAGTAATTTAGATATAGTTATATATTTAAAAATATTTAAAAAATATGATTGTGTTATAATTATTTGTAAACATTAAATAAATTATGAATAAATGGTAAGAACTAAATGTAAAACATCACACGATGAAATGAATGTGCATTTAAGTCAACCACATTATAACGAAAATTATAAATTACTCTATAGTACATATTTCTTTGTAAACAACATTCAATGTTGATTTGGTTGGTTATCCATTTTCGTCATTACAAACTCCAATCCCATGAACTTGTTACTCTCAACACCGCCACGTACAAATGTTTGTGAGTAATAATGGGGCGTCAGAGTAAGATGACAACCTTTTTCAACGATTGTGCAAACCTAACAATTTTACGCGGAGAATGCTTAGCCGGGAAAATTTTCTCTCTCCAGTATAGTGCTTTTAGATATTCGATGAAATTACATTTTAGGATTTAAGGATTATAGGATGATGATTTTTTTTGTGGAAAGTGTGATTGCATTTTAGGATTTTAGGCGGAGAATGCTTAGTCGGGAAAATTTTCTCTCTCCAGTATAGTGCTTTTAGGTATACGATGAAATTACATTTTAGGATTTTAGGATTTTAGGATTATAGGATGATGATTTTTTTTTTGTGGAAAATGTAATTGCATTTTAGGATTTTAGGCGTAATATGCTTGAGCGAGATAATTTCTCTCTCCAGTGTAGTGCTTTTAGGTATAACGTGATTTTTTTGCGAAAAGTGAAACTACATTTTAGGATTTTATTAGGCGGAGAATGCTTAGGCGGGAGAATTTTCTCTCTCCAGTGTAGTGCTTTTAGGTATATGATGATGATGATTAGGTATAAGATGATGTTTTTTTTTTGGAGAGTGTAATTACATTTTAGGATTTTAGGCGGAGAATGCTTAGGCGAGAGAATTTTCTCTCCGCTGCAGTGCGTTTAGGTATAGGATGATTTTTTTTGGGGGAAAGTGAAGTTACATTTTAGGATTTCAGGCGGAGAATGCTTAGGCGGGAGAATTTTCTCTCTCCAGTGTAGTGCTTTTAGGTATATGATGATGATGATTAGGTATAAGATGATGTTTTTTTTTGGAGAGTGTAATTACATTTTAGGATTTTAGGCGGAGAATGCTTAGGCGAGAGAATTTTCTCTCCGCTGCAGTGCGTTTAGGTATAGGATGATTTTTTTGGGGGGAAAGTGAAGTTACATTTTAGGATTTCAGGCGGAGAATGCTTAGGCGGGAGAATATTCTCTCTCCAGTGTAGTGCTTTTAGGTGTATATATATATATATATATATATATATATATATATATATATATATATGATGATGATGATGATGATGATGATTTTTTGTGGAAAGTGAAATTACATTTTAGAATTTTAGGCGGAGAATGCTTAAGCGGAAAAATTTTCTCTCTCTAGTGTAGTGCTTTTATGTATAGGATATTGAATTTTCTAAAACTTTATTTTTATTATGCTCTTTTTTAAATAATTGTGAGAAAAATATCAATTTGGTCCTTGTACTATAACAAAAACACCAGTCAAGTCCTTATATTTTTTTAAAATAATCAATCAAATCCACAACTATATAAAACGTTTTAATTGAGTCCATTAGCAAGTCAGACGCCATCCACACATGGAAGCCCAATCAACATTTAGTGATGCTTGGTGCACACGCAAACCACCACGTGTACGTCACGTCACAGAGTTACCTGATGACGTGACAAGTAATCAGCTAGTTGACTCTATTGATCATTTTCTCAAAATCCCAAGATTTAATTAATTTTTTTAAAGTATGAGGATGCAATTGAATTTTTCATAATAGTACGGAGATCAAATTAACAATTTTCTTCATAATTATTTAAAAAAAAGAAAATTGTCAGATAAGTCCCCATACTTTTAATAAAAAGTCAATTAAATCCATATACATTTTATCGAATCAATCAAGTCTGTGAAGTAATAAAAAACGACCAAATCAGCCATTTTACCGGTAAACCACCCGTTACCCGTTCAAACGCTGATATGGATGTTCCACATGGCGTTGTTTTACTGTTTCTTATTTTTTTTTCTCCTTTTCTTTTTTCATCCCTTTCTTCGTTTTTCTCTTTCTTCCCTATCAGCTTTGTTCTTGGTCCGGTCATCTCCTGTCCAGGTCTCCTCCCCCAAGCTTGTGAGCTTTTCTGTTTTTTTTTTCAATTTGGACCACCTCCACAATTCTTTTAATTTCACCACTTTTACTACCTCTGCCACCTCTAACTAGACCGATCTCCGCCACCTCCGACTGGATCGACCTCCGCTGCACCTACCTTCATAGCCACCGCCCCGTCGTCCACCTCATCTCCACCGGCCCTGAGCCCCTACCTCCACATTGCGCCTCCTTCGACTTCCAACCGCCTCCTCGGGCCAAAACCTCTGTCGCCCCTACCTACGTTCAAAACGCCTCCGACCACCACTACCGTGGTCTCCACCACCGCCTCTTGCATCGGAGTGACCTCCAACCTCCATCCCCCACCGTTTCTACCTCCATAGGGCATAGCTACAACCTTCGCCATCCCTACGGCCATATTCACTGCCTGCGCGGCCCCTCTAACTCCGCCGCCCCAACATCCATAGACTGATGCATGAGTGCATTTGCTAGCAGTGGCGGAACTAGAACTTTTTTCGAGCAGGTGCCGAGAAATGTATGAAATAAATACGTCGTAATAAATTTAGAAAATAAACGCATATGATTGTCTAAATTAAGTGTCGTAAAGCTTAATGTTTACGTATAAGTCCAAAACTAACTACTCTGGGAAATTAGGGGAGTTAACTGCATCTTGCGAGTTCGCATCTGTTGAAAGCGTTGCAAGATTACTTCATTTTCAATGGTTGCAAAAATCTCTTTCTCGATATATACAACCAAGCTATCATTCATCCATTCATCTCCCATCCTATTGCGCAAATCAGTCTTGATAATTTTCATAGTAGAGAAGACTCTTTCTACTGAAGCAGTTGCAACCGGTAAAACCAAAGCTAACTCAATAAGATGGTATACCAATGAAAAAACCTTGTTCATTCCAGTTTGAACCATTTGCTTGGCAAGACATCCTAAATAATCAACCGTAGAAAACTGATCATGGTCCCGGACGGTATGAATATAAGTCTGAAGTTGTTGCTTGAGTAAAACACGATCGGTACATGAAAAGTCCTCTGGATAAAGTTCAGCCATGCGGAGTAATTTGTCAATGTCAAAATGACAACAAGAGTTTCTTGGATCAAGACATGCAATACAACTCAACAACTCCGTACTTGCTTCAGGAAAACGATTGTTCATCTCTGAAATCATCTTATCAAGAACCTATCACACCATAAAGACAACATTATTAAGCAAACGTATTATTATCATTTTATAATAAAAGAAGATGTGAAATAATTATACCTCACAAAATATTCCCCCACGAAAGTGGATCAAAAAAAAGATTCACTTCCTTGAAGAAAATATCCCATCCATTATCTCGAAATTCTTGTAACCCGGCCTTCATTGTACTAATCATAATCAAATGGATAGCCAAGACAATATTTTGATCTTTGTGTTGCAAGGAAAGAGACAAGTCATTTGTGATTCCAAGTAGATGTATCATCAAGTGCATCACAAATACAAATTCATAATTCTCCATCTTATCAATTAAACTTGAAGCTATTCCTCGCTCTTCATTAGCACCATCCTCATACACATTCTCAGGGGCTTTTAATACGGAACTCCACATAGACATCAAGCGAATAATAGTAATGTAATGTGATCCCCAACGAGTATCTCCTGACCTCTTCAAACTAACTTCTTGATTTTTTCTCTTGCCATTTACAATCTCCCCCCTTTCCAAACTTTCTAGAAGCCTCTCATGTTCTATTTGTCTAAGTCTATCTCTTCTTTTACGTGAAGCCCCGGTAACATTCACAATCATAGTTACATATTGAAAAAAGTCACACAAAATTCTATTACACTTAGCAACAACAACAACAACTAGTTGGAGTCGGTGTGAAAAACAATGGACATACCTTGCGGCTGAATTTTCTTTCAAGATGAGAGCGTTCAATCCATTATACTCACCGCGCATATTAGAAGCTCCATCGTATCCTTGACCTCTTAATCTTAATATTGAAAATTTATGTTTTGCAAACAATTGATGAATATAGTTCTTTAAAGAAAGAGCCGAAGTGTCATTGACATGCACCATAGCAAGAAAACGTTCAATGACATGTCCAAATTTGTTCACATATCTCACAACAACTCCCATTTGCTCCTTGATTGAGACGTCTCTAGATTCATCAACCATAAGAGTAAAAACTTTATCCCCTAAGTCTTCAAGAATAACTTTGGTAACTTCCACAGAACAAGCATTAGTTAGCTCCTTTTGGATTTTAGGAGATGTCATTAAATTATTCCCGGGAGCATTCTCATTCATTGTTTTGGAAACTTCTTTACTTCTTTGGGTATACCATTGAATTAATTCAAGGAAATTACCTTTATTCAAAGAATTCGAAGACTCATCATGACCATGAAAGGGAAAACCTTGTTTCAAAAGAAAACGTGTTACATCCAAAATCGCTGTTAATGTAACACCGTCCCCAACTATTTTTACTTTATGTAAATCATGCATTGAACCTTATTAAATGGTTAATGAATTTACGATGTTGAAAATCTTGTTGTTTCTTTTGCGTGAATAGTAAATTGCACGTGGGACCCACATCTGGATCGGGGACCACCCTATATTTCTGAAACCACATATTATATTCCTCTTGGGCTAGATAATATGTATATGGTGGTGGATATCTTAGTTGGGCCATAGAAAGGGCATAGGGTTGACCGGTTGGTCAAGTAAGGCCCAATTGCCGGTATTGGTAATTTATCGGATAACAGTCCGAAATGGGTTTCGGAGACTTCTAAATTAAAGTTGAGGAATGTATATTCATTCTAAGGACCCATATGGGTTGGGAACGTGTGATATATTTTATTTATCCCAATAAAATAAAATATAATTAAAACAGTCCGAAAAATACAACTTTCGGGGCCGACTGTACACATCGGGACATAATGGGATGACCTCCCACGTGAATGGGGGCCACCCCACGTTTTTTAGAGCTCAAAGTAGAAACTTTGGGGGCTGCACAACATGGGTTGGGAGTTGGCATTGTTTGAGAGTGATGGGTGGGTGAGAAGTGACCAAAGGTGGCCCTCCCCCTCACTCATTTGCCTATTAAGACAAATAGGAGTACTCTAACCCTCTTCCCCTTCCCTTGTGCGGCCAAGAAACTTCAAGAAAGAGGAAAACTCCAAGAAAATATTATTCTCCATTGATAGAATCAAGCTCAACAAAGAAGAAGGTCCAAGGAAGAAGAAGAATAGGGAAAAATAGAGAATAACCTTTGGTGTTAAGGTGAGAAACTCTTTACTATCTTTTATCCCACCTCTTATCTATCACATGGATTGAACATCATATGATGAACCCCTAGGATTGTTCTACATGTTTAGAAGTGTAGAAAGAGGGTTTGCAAGGTAGTTCTAAGTCCAAGGACGGACATAGAAGCCAAGTCGGGGTTCGCCGGAAAATAACCTTTTAGAGGTTATTTGTATTAATATGGGTTTTGTGATGATGAAACCTTGTTAGGAACTTGTCTAAGGTGTTCCTAGTATTTTCACGTAGTTGAAAGAGTCGCCGTAGTAATCGCCGGAGCTAGACAAAGTTCGCTGGAGTTTTGTCGGAGTTCAACCGAGAAGGGTAGAACCTCATAAAGCTCATTCGAGGTGAATGGATGGCTTAATGTCTTGTAACTCTTGGGTTAAGTATAGGATTACCTAAAAAAATATTATAAGTATTCATAATGATGTTTAAAGGAACTTAAGCATGTGCTTGGTCAAAGTTAGTTGGCTTATGTGAATGATACTACATGATTTTGCTCGTGACAAGTATAAAATGTGTATAAAAACATATGTGATGTTTTGGATGGTTAAAATGAGATATTTGGGGTGTTTAAGACCCAATACATGTTGTATAAAAGTTTCGGATCGATCGGAGATCATCCGGGTGGTCAACGGACCGCCGCCGTTGGACAGACGCTAACCCGGCGCAGGCCATAGGGCTGAACCAGCGCCGGTTAAGCTACTGCCCAGCCAGTCTGTGAATTTTTATACAGACCCGGCGCCGGGTATAGGGGTAACCGACGCCGGTTAAGCTGCTGCCCCGAATTTTTGATTCGCCGAAAATGCGTATCGAGGCCCGGTTTGAGGGGGGGTCAACCCCGGCCGTCCTATGTAAGTATATGTGCATGGAATTGCATGGAATATATGATATTTAATTGCCAAGTTTGATATCTATTGATTAAGCTCTAAGGTTTGGTTTAGTCTTGATAAATAATTATGATGTAAGCCCTATCTAGATTGATATGAGGTAGATCATAGGGATACATATGGTGGAGGACCCAAGGACTTTATTGTTCTTAAAACTTATATGCATATGGTGGAGAACCCAGGGACTAAAGAATCCTCAAAACTCGGAATATATATTTCGGTGGAAAACCCAAGGACTAAAGAGTCCTCAAAACTTATATGCATATGGTGGAGAACCCAGGGACTAAAGAGTCCTCAAAACTCATATGTACATCGGTGGAGGACCCAAGGGCTAAAGAGTCCTCAAAACTCATGGTGGAGGACCCAAGGACTATAATGTTCTCAAAACTCACAGGTAACACGGTGGAGGACCCAAGGACTCAAATGCCCTCAAAACTCATGGTGGAGGACCAAGGACTATAATGTCCTCAAAACTCATGGTGGAGGACCCAAGGACTTTAATGTCCTCAAAACTCATATATATAAATGGTGAAGAACCCAGGACGATGGTACTGTCCTGAAAACTCATAATATGAATTGATTACGACTAGGAGGAGTCCTATACACTCATAGGTATATGGATGGGTTGGGATTTGAGTCAAGGATATTGACTACTACTATTTTCCCAAATAAACAATGACCTACGGGTCGGGTATTTCCAAGTATATATATACTGCTATGCATTTTATAACTTGGGGGAAAGTACTATACGTGCATGTATCACCCTATGTTTGGGTCTTATACTTGAAACGTTAGTTACTATACATTTAGATTGCTACTCGCTCGGTACTTGTACTGACCCCTTCGGGGGGGCCACCATTTTCAGGTTGAAGCTAGGGCTTGCTACCTGCGCCTTCTTACGAGTGAAGTCATTCAAGGAAGACGTAGTTCGTGCTTCCTTAATTCATTTCAAACTACCAAACACTTGGTCATGGATATTTGATTTACTATAAACTATTTTGGGCCTGTAAGCCACCTGGACGATATAACTGGAAACCGTATGCTTACCAGTTAAATGTCCAATTTGATCATTTTTTTTACAATTTGAGGACTTAATTGATTCATTAGTATGTGAACTCAATTGATTTTTATTAGTAAAAGTAGATGGACTTATTTGATAGTTTTCCCTTTTAAAAACAATTACAACGTGGTCCAAACTTATACTACCTTTGTCCCAATTTGATTGTACCACTTCTTATTCACATGGCCAACACAAATCACTCTTAATCCATTACTTTATATTTCATATTTTTTTCAAATTTGATTGTGATTGTTGCGATTTTGTAAAACTTTTAATGTAGTTTCTGAATATATATTTTTTTTCTCTAAAAATAATTTGAATACAGACATATATCAATTTGCCTTATCGTCGATCAAACATGGTAAACCACAATAGTATCACCAAATTGGGACAAAGTGATTGAGAGAGAGTAACTTATAAACATGATTAAAAGTTTCAGTTGCATTATTAAAATATACCAAAACATTACAATTTTTTTCGCAGGTGTCGATCTCAACCGAGTTTATAATATAGTTATCATATTGTTTCATAAAAGCAGGAAAATGTTGTTTATATCTAAGAAAAAATGCAATTAACTTATAAGTACTTGATATGCACTAATTAGTAGTGCATAAATGTATATTTTTATGATTGATTTGTATGTATTGTTTACCGTTTTATTTAGTTTGTAAACATTTGTGTGATTTTAGTTGTAATCGTATTTTAATTCTCATTTATAAGTTGTAAAGTATAGTTAGGATTTGTGGTGTTGGAAAGGAAGACTTTGAAGAGAAGAAAACAAGAAATTTGACTGCCCAGGAGTGAAACCCGACCGGGTAGAAACCCCCACCCGGTCGGGTATGATTTAACAGACGAAATTGCCAAGAAAGTCACTGGACCCGGTCGGGTCCCCTACTTGACCCGGTCGGGTCAGATGTGACCCGGGACAAAACGACGTGCGAAGATCACCAGAACGTGGCGAATTATCTGATTTTGACCGGACCCGGTCGGGTAAGTACTTGACCCGGTCGGGTACCCGGCCAAAGGTGTTGAAAAACACCTATAAATAGCACACTTTTTCTTCTCTAAAAATCATCCCTTCTTCCATACTCTTTAGCTCAGTTTAGAATAGCATTTCTTTATATTTTTCTAGCTATGTTTAGCCTCCAAATGAGGAGCTAAACTTCCATTCTTGGTGTTGCTTTTGAAGCTTGTTGATTATTAAAGTTGTGAGTTATTTTCTTAAAAAAAAAAAATAGACACATATTTCTCACCTCTTTCTATCAAAGAATCATGCCATTTTTTTCTAAGTTGACCATTACCCCAAATACGTCTAATCCCCCCCTTGACTACCTCCAAAGATGCTCCTAACGCTTTTAGACCATCTTGCACACATAAATTAATAACATGACATGCACATCGTTGATGAAAAAATCTATTCATCAAAGAAGTAGAACCACACAATTTACGCAATCTATGAATAGCAGCAATAGTATTAGTAGCATTATCGATCAAAACCAATAGCAAACACCTTATCAATTAAATTATACTCAATTGAAATATGCTCAATCAAAATATAAACATGTTCAGTGGTGTGACGATCATTAAATTCACGAAAAGCAAGAACACATTTATGCATATTCCAATCATTATCAATATAATGTACAGTCAGACCCAAATAATGTAAATTATGATAAGTATCCTCCCATATGTCAGAACATACAGTACACACGCCCATCAAAGTTTGAAAAATAATTTTGTAACCTTACCTTTTACGCACCATAAAGCCTTGAAATTTCTTTCTTAACTGTTTTGCGACTATAACCTCTATATCGAGGATTTAAACAAGTTTGTGCATAATCACGAAAAGCAAGATTTTCAGAAAACAAATAAGGCAAATTTTCTTCAACAAGTAAGTTAGCCATACCTGCCAAATTTTGTGCATCATTGTATGAGAAATTACCAAAAGGTTGTTGGTTATTTGCAAATCTCGATATTCGAGTTTGCTTCCCCGTTCCACCGCCTAATTTTGCATACTCCACCGGGCGTTTGGCCTTAAGATGCATTGTGGCGGAT